AACTTAAATCAGACGAATTCGACATGATGGAAAATCTGAATGATACTGAGAGAAAGACATCTAGAAATGATAAATATTTTTGTCACTTGAAAAATCATGACCCAGGAAATACGGAGCGATAACGGTGCCCAATCTTGTATATGCAAGTGATATCCTCGAACTGCGAATAATGTCATAAGAAATCGTATCTTTCGAGGGACTGAGCGTGCACTGTTCCATGAAATGACTAAACAAGGGAAAAATCACCTTCTATAACTTCAGCAAAGAAACCAAAGTTCAAATTCATGTTTTCCTGCATGCTTACATGACCATTTCTGCATATTACTTAAAACTGAAAGTGTGCCTAGACTCTGGCCATCTGGCGCGGACCTGGGCTGCGGATAGGGGAAGACCTCCAGATATGGAGGCTAGCTGAGACAGATACGCAGTCGCCGACAGTCAGCGGTGAGACCACCAGGGCGTGGCCGCGTTAGAGCTCGACAAGTACGATCTTCAGAGAAAATGCCACAACGACTCTCGTTCCACGGTGGCGGCTTCGTGTTCGACTGGCGAAGAATTCCAGGTGAAAGGCTAACATCCGGCAAACTTGGCTTCCCTCACGGTTTGCACCTACATCAATAGAACACTGGCAAGGGGAGAAGCGTTATACCAGCTAGTGGAAGAAAGGTCAGGGGTGGCCCGCGACATCTTTAGTGTATGCGACTAATCACGCCGGAATTAGAAGAATGGCATATGGAAAGACAGTCATTCGGATTTGGCAAGGAAAAAGAAAGAATGCGAAGAACATAGGAAGAATCAGATTTGTAGTTAGCAAAAGTTGGTCGCCAAAAATCGTCTCCTGCCTTGTGAAGCCAGCAAGACTGGGCGTTCTGTGTCCCCATCTGAACAAAAAGATAACCTCGAAGATCGTCCAAACCTATGCTCCCACAAGTACGACTGACGAACAGGAAGTGGAATAATTCTATCAAGAATAGCAGCAGACATCGGTCCCATAGTCCACGCATATCTCGTCAAGGGAAACTTCAATTCCAAGGTTGAGCGAGGAAGGGCCAATGAAATATCCATCGGTTGGTATGGCATCGGAGATCGAAATGAGCGAGGAGGCCGCTTACTGACCATGACATAAATAAAACACCGTAGTTCAAAAATAAAACCAACAAGAGATGAGCATGGATCATTTCCAACGCGGCGACGAATAACGAGATCAATTTCGTCCTGTTCGATAAACGTTGCATCATCTGAAACATAGCAGTAGTGGCATAATTTAACACCGTCAGTGACTACAAACTGGCGCGGACTAGGTTAACCAACGAGGAAAATTTCGAGAAGATAGCACTGCATGTGGCAAATTGCAAGCAATGGCCAAAGATATTTGATATTTATATATTGGCATTACAAACGCGCATTTTCAGTGAAGACTGGAGCCCTAAAGGCAGCTGCAATGACGATTTTGAAAAATTAAAAAAGAATCTAAGGCGTTGTGCAAACCGAGGTGATAACAATAAAGGAAACGCAAAAAAGAATTTCGGAAGGTACAATGAACTTCATAAAGTGGCAGATGAGGATGAAGAGAAATATGACCGACAAGGTGGAGCACTCTCTTCTGTGCAAGTTCATCAAACGGAAGATAAAAAGGACTTCAAGAGCTTCTGATTGCGAAAATTTTAGAAAAAAACTGAAGACCGCAGACGACTCAGACAATGCAGGAGAAAGTTAGCACCTTATAAAATCTACCATCAAGGCGTTGAAGAACGAACAATGGACATCAACGTTTGACAGAAATGCGATGCAATCTATCCTCCAGAATTACACCCACCACTTAGCGTCAAAGACACGCGTCCGCTACCATCATTACAACAGCTAAAACGAAGAGCTCGCCCGGCCATCATAAGCAAAGTTTAGCATGCTGCGCAGTAAATGAAGGAAAAGCCACAAGGAGACGGTCTGACAGTAGAAATGATCAGAGCAGGTGGTCAGAAGCTGTAGAGGTCTCTAGCAGAGAGGTTCAGCTGCTGCCTAGAAACGGAAAAGATAGAACAAGCTGGAAGGAGTCAGAAACAATAGTGCCGTTCAAGAAGGGCGAAAAGAAAGGTATAAGAAACTACTGCCCAATATGCTGCTCTCAAGACTACAAGCTGTTCACTAAGATCATCACCAAAAAACTGTCAAGTTTTGACAAACAGAACAGGCAAAATTGTGAAAAAAAGCTATAGCACAATGGAGAGTATATTTACCTTGAGCGCGCAGGGGAGTTCCAGTTACTCCTATGCATAGCCTTCAACGACAACGAGAAACCGTTCGATATTGTCAAGAACAACGCAGTTTGAACTATGCAGCACAACGCGGCATTGACACCCGCTACATCAACTTTTTAAAGAAAGCGAACACTGGCTGCTTTTCAAAAGTCATGCTGTTTGACACCTCCTCTGGAATCTCGTAGAGAAGGACGCGAAATAAGCAGACATCATCTCCCCCCCCCCAAATTCTTCAATGCCTATTTGTAAACGGTGTTCCGTAGGATAAACTAGAAGGGCGAGATCAGTATCAATGGTGAACAGTTAAGCCACCTAAGGTCTGCTGATGACGGGGTGTTGTTTGCAGAAAATGCAAGTGCAGCAACAAGACATATTGCAAGAGCTGGACAGAAACAATGGAGTCTGTCTGAATCTGCCAGGCAAAGATACTGCGATGTCCCGCCAAAGATCCAGATAAGATTAAACAGAGAAAAGATCGAAGCTGATCAATGCATTTACCTGAACTAAGAAATAAACATGCTGCATGATCAGGCTACTGAGATTCAACCATGAAAGATGTCCGGCTGGCGCGCGATCCATTCTGTCAATACGCCTTCTCGACAACAACAAAAGACACCGGTGCCCACTTCTTCAGTTCGACCGTCCTGTCGGCAATGGTACGGCTGCGAAACGTGGTCACTAGCTAAAGCCGAAAAACTGTCGGACACCGAGAGAGTCATGTAAAGAAGAATGTTGGTAATTTCACGTCGCGACCACATTCCCAACACAGCGATCAGACAGCGAATTGGAGTGAATGACGCTGACATCGAAAGCAGAAGGGACAAGCTATGGAGAGCCGGGGACGTGACTTGGCTTATTGATAAGATGGTCGGCGATGAGAGTCCACTAGTATCCTCACAGGCAGATTAAATCCCTTGGCTGCCGACCACTACGATAGGAAGGTTATATCATAAACTGGGAAGGCAGCACTTGAAATAGCGAGGAACGTTGCGGACGACGCGATTCATCACCGACTACCTGGAGGTCCAACTGGTTTGAAACTGGTTTCGTATTTAATGCATATAGTATAACTATAGAGTACATAGTGTAAGTGTATTGTACAAACCATGGTTAAACAGAATGCATAGACATAAAAGTATGCTATAATACCGAAATGACAGTGCACACCTTTTCAATGAAAAGAATTATCTGCAACGCAACGACGTAGTTAACAGATTCGACATTAGGAAAACTCAAAAGCACCTTGAATGCTAACAAATGTATATACAGAACAGCAGACGCTGACAGCAATAGAGCAAAGCCTGCAATCACAAACGCTAAACGGACGAAGTCTTAAAAATTCTTTTTACAGTTCCGTTGAACAGACGCGGAAATGAAATCATCTTAAATCCGCAAGTTATAAAGGTCTGTTGGAAAAATCAGGAGAGGAAGTGTCTCAAATCGACAAGCATTAGAAAATTAAGCCATACTATGCTCCTATCCAAAAAGTCTGAGCACAGTTGAAAAGCGAAAGAACGTCGGAGATAGCAAGAAACGGTATGAATTCGTTCAGCTCAATTACATCACTGTATCAACGCGTTTTTACCTGCTTATTGAACCCATGCTTTTCTTCGATAACAAACGTGTCGAACATAGACCATGGCAACGACAATAAGGTAAGAACAACAGACGACCCGAACACAAAAACCAGTGACTGCAGAATCTACAACTGATTTCATGAAAATCATCGCGAAAACATTGCTGATAAAATTAAATTATTGCGTATGCAAATCAGAGTAAATGGCGTTCAGTCGAAACATTTCATTGTTGGCACAGGTCTCGGCCAAGGCTGCTTTCTGCCCCTTCTTTGGTTTGTACTGTACATGAATAGAATGATCAGGAGCAACCAGAGTGTGGATGAGACGAGAAGTTTAGGGACGACCTTATTTTGTTGGCATCTTCTGAAACTGATCTCCAGCGCCTGCTGGAAAGGTTCGCAACCGAGCGTGACGTCACTGGCATGTGTGTGAAAGTGTTCAAAACGAAAACATGCTGTCTACTTGTTCTCCTGCGATCTACGCTCTGTAAATCAACAGAGAAACAGTGGAACAGGTGAAAAAGATCACGTACCTCCGTCTTTAATGGCGATGGAAAATGGATGGAAAAGATCGACTAGTGAATTAGAATCGAAAGCACGAACTAGCCCGAACTGTTGTGACTAAGGGATAGCTGAGTCTGAAGACGAAGCTGTTTCTGTTCAAGTCGATCTTCACCCCCATGCTTACCTACGATCACGAGTCGTGCGCCATGAATGAAAAACTTCGATCCCGGTAAAGGCGGCTAAATTGAGCTTTCTTAGATGAATCGTTGGACCCACGGGTATCGACATGGTCCTGAATACAGATATTTGAGAAGGCCCTGGTGTGCAGCCGCTGCTTCCTCAGATTGAGATGCCACAGCTGCAATGGTTTGGGCAAGTCGTGCAAATGCTTCCAGAAAGGAAGGCGAAACGGCTACTATTTGTCCAACTTACCAACCCGAAACCCAGGCGGCAGCCGAGAATGACCTGAGGCAAATATAAATGTTAAAAACTTTAACCTTATTGCTATGTCTGAAACGTGGATCGAGAAAAACGAACTGAGTCATTACCCAGGCATGGAACAGAACTGGATCGCAATAACAGACTTAAGCAAGTCTGAATCAGTATAAAATCTTCATTTGACGTCCGAAAAATTACAAGAACGAGGAAGAGAATGAATGGAAAAAAACTGCCAGAGACAGTTCATTTTATAACTTCTGGGGTAATCCTAAAACCAGAAATGCTACGGACCAGATTTAAAGACAAAAGTGAAACTTTCCTGGTTTTGCAGCACTGCATAAGAATATTCTTATGAAAGTTAAGTGAGTTAAAAC